GAGATCATTTATGGGGGTGACAGGGCATTTTATTATTGATTACAATCTATATTCGGTGATGCTTGGCTATAGACGCTTTTATGGGTCTCATACCGGGGAGGCTATTCATACAAGCTACCAAGAGATCGTTTGTGATTTTGAGATAGCTGACAAGGTCAAAATTGTTGTCACTGATGGAGCTTCGAATATGGTCAAAGCATTCAGTTTACTAGGGTATGCTAACTCTAATACTGTAGAGGAGGCATTTGAGGAAGAGGAAGGTGACGAGAAAGACCTAGAGCCATTGTCTATTGTAGATATTGAAAATAGCACTGATATTCTCAGTCATACAGAAGACTGTTTCTTTCCAGAACGGGTGTCATGCTTCTTGCACACGTTACAGTTAGTAGTAAAAGATGGGCTAAAAGAGGCTGGACAATTAAAGACTGTTGTCAGTAAAGCATCTAGTTTGGTTGCTCATGTACATAAATCTCATCTGGCATCAGAGCTACTAGAAGACTGCAACAGGCTTCAGAATGCAAATGCAACACGATGGAATAGCCAGCTCAAAATGCTCAGATCTGTTCTTGCAGTTCCTAGTGACATTGTGGATAAAATTGATATAGCTAATAAACCAACTGCTCATGAAATCAAGCTGATGCATGACCTATGTACTATTCTGAAACCTTTTGAAGAAGCAACGAATGCTTCACAAGGTCAAAACATCACTTCTAGTCAAGTCATAATTATTATTCGCACACTAAGGGAAGAACTTGGTGCCTTATCAAGAGTTTATAAATCTCGATTACTATCTACACTCAAGCATTCGATAGATACAAGGTTGTCGAAATATGAGCATTTGGAATGTTTTCAGCTTGCTACAGTTCTAGACCCACATTTCAAGCTGGACTGGTGTACAGATAGAGAAGTGGAAGATATGAAAAGTCTCCTTGTAACTAAAGCAAAAGATCTGTTTCCACAGAATGATTCTGCATCTGAATTACCAGGAAGAGAAAGAGAAGGACCACCTTTACCTAAGAAATCTAGACCTCTGTTCATGAAGGATCGGTCACAGCAGTCATTGAACACAGAAGCAGGTAGTTATATGTCAGAAGTGAAGGACTATTTGTCTTCTTCTTGCGTATTGGATGAAACTGAGACTCTGAAATATTGGAATGAGAACAAAGTAAAATATCCCTCTTTGACTAAACTTCCTTCAATATACTTGGCTCTACCTGCATCTTCTGGCCCTGTTGAGCGAATATTTAGCATAGGTGGCAAAATATTTAGGCCAGATCGGTGTTTGTTAAAAAAACAAAACTTTTGAAAATTTAATGTTTATTAAATGTAACTAACATAAAAATTTTGTTTGAGGAATAAAATTCATTGAATTAATATGAGTGCAATCATTGTAATTAATGCTGTAATTGCATGCTAAGTTACAATTATAATTGTAATTGATGGTCTCATGCTGTAATTGTAATTGATCTGGGTTTAGTTGCTTTGGTAGTAATTGTAATTGTAATTGAAAAAAAAATTTGTAATTGACCCCAAGTCTGGTCATACTTACTAATACCAATACACAATGTGTACCACAGAGCCTTAACTGTTGAGTGCTTAAAAACTTCTTACATGTACATGTATGTGTAAGCACAGTTACTGTCTGTATAATTAGTAAATTACTGTGATATTTTCATGTATAATACCAATACATACGTGTGTCATAAAGCCTTAACTGTTGAGTGCATATAAACTTCTGTTAAGTACTGTTACTGTCTGTATTTTCATGAAATCTTTATTATAATGTAGGATTTACTTTACATGTAGTAATTGTAAATTGTGAAGTAATGTATAAATTCATTTATTGTAGTATGTTGATGAGTCTGGCACTTGTGTTAGAGGTGACTGTCACTTACTACTAGTGGGAGATCCAGGTATAATATACTGGGAATTGTTTATGTACATATACAATGTAGTCTGATCATCTTTCATGTATAATATACATTATGATGTCTTCCATGCGACATGTATTTGTGTATATTAGAAAGTTTGAACTGATTCCGACTTAAATTTTTTGTGTTATGAGCATTTTCAAAATAGGCCAAATTTTGAAAAATACCCAAGGCTATAGTCCATGGTTTTTTTTGCAAAAAATGGCTACAAAATCACTCCCAGTTTTTATTACATTTTCTGATACACATTGATGTCCTTATGCTGTGTAGAAAGTTTGAACTGATTCCGACTTAAATTTTTTGAGTTATGAGCATTTTAAACAATAGGCCAAATTTTGAAAAATACCCAAGGCTATTATAGCCCATGGGTTTTTGCAAAAAATGGCTCCAAAATTACTCCCGGTTTTTATTACATTTTCTGATACATATTGATGTCCTTATGCTGTGTAAAAAGTATGAACTGATTCCGACTTAAATTTTTTAATTTTTGAGCATTTTAAAAAATAGGCTAAATTTTGAAAGCTACCCATGGTTTTTTTGCAAAATTGACTCTGAAATCACCCCGAATTTTTATTACATTTTAAATACCTATTGATGTCATTATGCTGTGTGTTTGAGCTGATTTGACTGTAAATTTTTGAGTTATGAAAATGCCCTTGGTTTTTTGCAAAACTTACCTTCAAAATTGCCCTAAATTTTTGTTACATTTTCTATTGCATATTGATGTCCCTATGACAAATTCCTGATACCATTTCTTCAACTGTTGCCATCTTGTTTCTTATTTCAGTAGTCAGTCTTCCTTATACACTTACTGAACTGTGTTTTGTCTTGTTTCTTTAGGCACTGGAAAATCTCAGTTTCTCAAGTTTGCCTCAAGTCTCAGTCCTCGTTCTGTATTAACTACTGGAGTGGGTACTACTAGTGCTGGACTCACTGTTGCTGCTGTTAAGGTAATAATTAATAATAATTTTTGTACGTCTTTAACCAACTTTTGTGAGAATTCTTAAGTATCTGGCTTTGATTAGAATCAGCTCAAATCTGTTATCACACATAATACATGTATATTAGAAATTGTACGATAGTCAAGAATTCTAGCTACATGTAGCTGGACGACTTAGCTTTTTAAAAGGATTTTAAAAATTTTCTCCAAGAAGGCAAAAACATTATCCT